TGAGGGAGTGAAGGAAGATTTAAAACCAGGTGATGCTCCCTCTGTTCGGGGCTCCGGTGAAGGCTGTGACTCTTGCCTGAAGAGCATGGGGGACTTCATCCCGCCGGACTACCGGAATGAGCTCGTACAACTTTTCAAACTAGCGGGACCCGTGGTAAGTGTTTGGACCGACACACAGCGCCACCATGAACTCTTCCCTGTGTATTGTTTTTGTATACTATGCATGTATGGATAGAAAGGTAGGCATTACAGTGCAGCCCGTGTGTAAATTGTGTATTTATTCGGTGTTTGGGCCCTGAAATGAACTGATTTCTTGAGTGCTGATTTTTTATTATTTTGTTATAGCTTTATGAAGCTCACATTTATGAAGGAATACAGTATGGAAATGTATACTGAAAGGGCCCCTCTACCAGATGTGGGCCTCAGGATTATAGGCTACTGCAACCATAGGTCAGTTTGTATGGTGCATACAGTGCTGCAAACTACAAACAAATAATAAAATAATTATAAAATTACCACAAACACAACATGGAGCCTTCAGGTGCCTTGAGGGTTTGGGACCCCTGGAATACTTGCCTTCAAATTGAAAAAGTAGACACTTAAACTTAAAAATTATTAATTATCACTGTCAGTACAGCTCTTAGACTATGTTTACTTAGTTATTATGTTTTTAGGTTGTTACAGATAATTACATTGAATGTCTAATTTCTGCAACCATTGGAATTTAGTTGGTTATTTGGAATGTTGTTAGACAAATCGTTTTACATCAGATACAGAGAGCCACACACAGGAAGCATGATTATATCTATTAGATCTTTACCCAATGTTTATGAATTTTTCTTCATGTTTATATTAGGGTCAACAACGTGATGCAATTGTTTTTGTCCTTATGGTTTAGTTTAGGATTACATTTTGAAATTAAATTTAAGTTACTACTAAGTAAGGAATTACTCGATTACTTGCATGCATATTTTTTTTAGGACCTAGTCCAAAATTACTAGTTTTAATACATTTGGAGGATGATGTCATGTCAATGTGGTGTAACCGTAAAAAACAAGTAATTAAACTCAATAAAATACTTATCAGCTAGTTTGGCATAATCTTACTTTAGAACTATTTAATAGCAAATAAAAATGATCAAACACCGTTGTTTTTAGTGACGTGAAGTTTGATTATTTTCACTGAATCGAATCTTTGAATCTCGGTCAGTAAAATGAACTTATCATTTTTCGAGTCATTTTGTTCATTGGAACTAGGCACTGTCTTGTGGGAGAGCGCTTTCTCAAAAACTGAAGGCTGCATGGTTTGCCTCAGTTGACAAAGTGTAATACACAAATTCACTTGTTGATCATTCTCTATGATCATACTATTAGCCCCATGGTGCCACAACCAATTCAAACCATGTGAAAACCAAGGAGGTACAGAGATGCACCACAGCAGTATATTGTCAATATTCAATACAACTGCATAAAACAGCAGAAATATGTTGTCAGTATATAATAGCTACTAGCTACTCCGACTAAATCCATCCATTTTTGCAATCTTTACTCATATTCCAAATCAAGAAATCATGAGTATACAATACAACCACACCAGCCATATATATATATGTATATATACAGGGCTTAAAGACCAAAGGCGTTTTTGTATTTGACAATACATAAATATGAAAATATAAAACATTTTTAACTGTCGCGTGTTATGTGTGTGTGTGAAGCTCCAGTCTTCCTCTGCACAACTGGTGGCTCTGTGTCTCTGTCGGTGGATACACGAAAGAAAGGGGCATGGCACTTCCTGGCTACGTGGACACTGATTGGCTATTGTATTGTATTTTGAACAGGGCATGGAAGTTTCTATTGGGTCAATTATGGTGTCACTCAAAAGGTTATGGACTTCGTCTTTTACTGGAATGGATCATCTGGACCTTTGCCAACGTAACAAAGCCATTTTTGTCAGAATGTAATCCACCGGTGGAGTATGGCTTCACAGATAAGTGGTGTCAATTTTGATAATAGGCAGTGCTTGAAGTGGGCCACCGATACCAGTAAGTTACTTTTACTTTAACATTTTACTCTTTGTCGTCCCGGGACTTTTCTCGCGTACCGGTGGGCTCTTATGTGGCGCTCATCTGTTCCCATTCTTGCCTGTTTGCCAATCTCTGTCGGTAGAGACAGAGCAGGTAGAAGCTCGGGTGCCTTTCATGCAGCCATGAGCATGAAGTAGCTGTCACAGTAACTTTTCGTGAACCAGCCTGGATGGGGCAGGACATTAATAACGTTTGATGCAGTACATCAAACTTTTAAAAAGTTGAACTCCTTGTTCTGCATGAATGATTATTGACGAGTTAGTAGCTACTTAGCATTAACTAATTAGAGACTAAGCACCATGTAGATAATTTTTCTTACACAAGGATTTAATAAATGAAAACCCTCAGAAATTAAACTGCTGTTCAACTGGAATTAAGATTTCATTAGTGGTAAGCTTTATAGTATACTATTATCTGAAATTATAATGAAATAATTTAGCCCTAGTACCGGCCAATACACATTCCCCCATGTGAAATGGGAGTACCAGTAGAGCTGGGCAATAAAACAGTAATGATAATCTTTTAAATTTTCCTCAGTAACAATATAACAAATGTTTAAAAAGTGTTTGATTTAATTCGTTTGAATCAGGAACCATCACGTCTTTGGCCAGGTGAAGAGTCAAATGCTCCCATACTTTGGAGGTTTTAGGTTGTTAATGTTGAAGGAGACGATTATGCTTTTCCATATTTTATAACTTATCTACAATGTTACAATGTTGGATGTTCATGTTAAACATGGCCAAAGCTTCAAATAATGAGGATAAAGTATTGAAAAGAAATCCCTGTGAGAAAAAACCTCAGATTTCCTCCTGTTCGGAACGCTCTTTTCTACCAATGGCGGCTTTTCTACCAATGGCTCCGTTCTCTGACATACCGAGCTAGATGGAGCCGGTGTTCCATATATGGTCATTTGCTCCCACAGAAAGGGCACAGCAACGCTCAGTCTGTCTGTACCGCTCAGCGACAACAACTGCCTCATAACATACTTCAAGTCTTGGCCAATCAGAAGACTACAGCTGGTTTCAGACAGAGGCTGAAATGAAGGCATACATGAAGAGCCAGTATAAGAGAGAAAATTACTTTTTTCAACTATGAATCAAGCAAAGCTGCTATAAAGGAGTCACAAAACTACAATATAGGACTGGAAAAGCAGAATAATAGGTCTACTTTAATTCACAACCTTGTTAACTTTGAATGTTGTTAATACTATTGCTACTCTTTTGTTGTTTTATTAACTTTACTGTTCACA